CATGGAGGAACGCTAAATGCCATTTTTCGACAGTTGGTATTAATAAGTTTCACTTCCAGAATTTTATACTTCCATCCATCGAAGCGGAGACAAGGAAAGTCTGGCCGCCCCCTGCCCTAATTAGGCTTAAGTCGGAAATTATATTTGTATGTCCACTAGTCGGTTCCCGGATGTCTAGGTGGCCTGTAGCCGGGATTGCCAGTGCTACATATTGTTGTTTATGGAGTCGTTGAGAGTGTTGTTGCGCTGGCCAAGGAAGGTGGACCTGGTTTGGCCTCGTCAACCTTAACTGATTATCGAGGCCAAATGATTGATGACCAGCAGATTTGGCGTTGGCTTCACGATCGCTGGAGTATGCGGATAACAGGCTGGGTGGTTCAACGGCAGTTGGGGATTCGATACTTCCCGCAGACGTAATTAATTCCGAGATGATCAAAGTACCCGAGTTGGCCTGGTGTAGACTAGTGCAGATTATTGGCGTATTTATGAATTTTGTTAAGAAGAAATATAGGTAATTAGATATATGCCTGTAATGAGAATAAGCAGCATCCAAAAAAATTCGGTAGATATTTGTTCTGCTCAAAGCACTAGTGAGTCCTTAAATAGCAAGAAAAAATAGGTCAAATTAAAAACGGTGACTTGAAACATAAATCGGATATTAATCTCAAAACATGTTTTCGACGTAGATTCGTGGGTGTAAAGCATGGATACCGAACTAAATCAAGACCAGACTAATTAATTTCTATGGAAGAACGGCAATCGGGTTTTAAAAAGTTAAAAGAAAAACGAATAGTTAAGGAGTAAATTCACACTACAGATCGCATCGCATTGTATAAACAAATAATTTATGTAATCGTTGCCTAGGTGTTCAAAAACTTATTTAAGTAAAAAAAACCCTAAAGGAATGGTGGTACATGAAGGTGGAGCTGAGGTGCGAAGATGGATTTATGAGAAAAGCCAGGCATACTGTAACACAGCACATTTTTTATATTTTTTGAGCAGCATCCATTCAAAGTAATTCGCAATCATCTTTTTATAGGTTTTCATTAGATTTGAGTACTAATATTTACTATGATGTACAGATTGACGCAATTCATGAGACTAGCTAAAATGCAGTCATGTGACGTACACCTTCAGAGGTATAGCTCACTCCCACAACAATTTCACACTAAAGCAAAGTGAGGAAGAGAAACCAACTCTTCATTATGTGCCATTGACAAGCAGAACAACAAAAGAGAACTGAGGTTGTTTGACCTG